TGCTGACTGCGGCCCCTTTTGTTTACTGGTTTCCTTCCCCTGGTATTTGCAATTCTAAAGAAGTTGAATATTTATTACCAGCCTGTCATTTCATACCGAGGACTGAGCTCCACTCAACACGCACACTAAGACAGGCTCCTTGGGGTGAGGGGCACCTTCCTCCACTCTGCCATGGCCCCACAGGCACTCCCCGGGGACCGCCGGGCCAGGGGTGCTTCTTCTGGATTCACAGGAAGGGAAAGGCGTTTCTCCAGAAGTGATGGCCCAGATCGCGCTTGCTGTGCGTGCCCCAGCAGGCTCTGCAGGGCTCACCCCTCCCTGCCCAGTCCTGACTGGTTGCCACCCCAGAGGTCCCACATGCCACCACCGATGTAGCGTGCAAGCAGGCACACAGGGCCAGGGGACAGTCCCCGCAGAGGGCACAGCGCACTGCTGGGCTTGGTAGAGCCGGTGGCTGTGGCAGGGTGTCCAGAAATGTAGGGGCTTGCTGCCATCACACAGGGGAGGTGGGCTGGGAACAGGCTGTGTAGTGAAGGAGGCTGTTGCTGGAGAGAAAGACTCTTCCTTTCCAGTGTCAGGGAAAGTGCTGCCTTTGCTCACTGGCCACACGCTTGATCTTGGCCTCTCACCCTGGCTGAGCCGATACCAGCTGGTGGCACCTCACACAGGCTGCGAAAAGCCATGCCGGGACCATCTGAGAAACAGGGGCAGGTAGGCAGGGTAAGGCTGATGGGATTAGGGATGGCTTCGCAGGGGAACAAGGCTGGGAAATCCTAACCGCTGGGATGTTGCTTCCCTTGTCCACTGTGCATGGCTACAGAAAAACAGCCCTGCTGCTGTGCTGCATCATTCCAGCACAGCCAGGTATGGAGGAAACTGGGCAGCCCAAAGGGAAGTCGCTGCAGAGCAGCGTCCAGCAAAGTGGTGCCCACACTTGCACCGTGCATCAGCTGATGGGTATCTGATCTGTGCCCTTCTCCCCTTCCCCGTGTCTGACAACCGCAGAGTCTCATTCCCTCATACAACTAGCACAGAGCGTGTCTAAACCTGTGCTGTGGGAGACTGTCCTTACGGGGTGCAGGTGACCTTCCTCCAGTCCCTCTTGCATCCATGAGTAAGTGCATAAGCTACAACTTCAGAATGAAGATACTTCTCTTTGTATACAATCAACAGCTAAATAAACCTCCCCTTCCCGAACAAAAAATAACAATCCAAACTCCCTCCTAACTCTCCAAAGAAAAGTAAACAGTAAATTCAGAGTAAAGCTGTTGAAAACGAAACAGCATGCCCCCCTGTCATCCTTTTCTGACAAAATTGCCATGATTTTCACACCACTGGGCTAATACACACCGTCTAGCATTTGTCCAATCTTTTTTCAAAAAATAACCCAATCATGGAGAAGCTTCCATCAGTTCCCCAAGATGGTATTTTACAGCCCTGATCTCACCACTAAGAAATTCTCCAGTTCTTCAGCCCACATGTTGTTGTGCATTATTTCATTGCTCTAGTTAGTCCGCCTGCCAGACCCCCAACACACCATCAGAGGGCTGCTCAGCTACAGCGCCTTGACATGCCACCATGTGACTTCTGTGAAATATAGGGCTGAAATTTAATCTAGGTGCCTGTAGCCCAAAGCTATTAAGACCAAGTTGTAGATTTATAACAACACGCTTCTTCTGCTTGTCACTGGCCCAAGGACTCAGCAGCTGCACCTGGACTGCTTTGACCCCCTGGGACTTGGCTTGTTGCTTGCTCCTGCCGCCGACCTGTTCACTCAGCTGGGACACAGGAGGAGCAGCGAGGGTGGAGGAACCCTTGTAGGTGGCTCCTATGCCCCTGCAGGCCTGTCCCATCTCCCCACGCAGAAGTATCAGAGTAGCACAACAGCCCGGGGTCCCTCCAAGGCAGACAGCAGGCACAGAGGAATCTGGGACCAGGCAGCCCTAGATGGGGACACTACAGGGATCATGTCTTCTTGGGTCCCACCAAGATCAAGTCAGTCAGTA